ACTCTGGAAAGGACCAGATCCATTGCTGACCACAGGGAGAGGATTTGCTTGTGTTTTCCCATATGATCAACCAAAGCCTATCTGGGTTCTAGCCAGAAATGTCCAGCACCTCCCCACCCACAAAAGAGATGGCTTGTGTGACCCTGTCAGAGACAAAGAAAAGGAAGAGGCAGAAATGACAACCAAAGCCACACCGGATCATGTGGAAAGAGATCCATGATCTAGTGGAGACTGCTCGCTGCAGATGCCCCCCCAGAGCTTCTTTCTCTGTCATCCTCATGGCCGTTTCTACCCTGCTTAACAGCAATGCTTCAGCCAGCAACCCACTCTCCCTAATACCATGTTCTAGAGATTTTATGTCAGAGAAACATTTCAAGGAAAAAATCAGATCCATGGGCCGATCGCTGGCGTATTGGAGTAATAGGAAAGTTCTACTCAGGTGCATTCGCTAGGTACCCTACAGCTGACTTTCATATCTCTCAACAGCTTGTACCTGCAGCTAAGTCTATGCTAACTCATAATGTTATTCTACAGGAAAGACAAACAGAGGACCAGATAAGATCAACTATGTCCTGGAGCAAATACATTCAATATGTTGCTAACTTTCTTCCTTTCACCACCCACCCCAATGCCTCTAACTGCTTCTTTTGTGCATCCAGCAATAGACCTTTACTGACAGCAGTACCAGTTAATACCACCCTTCTTTACCCAGAAACAAAAAAAGATTTCACTGACTCTCATCTGATGGATATTCCCTTATTCGAACAACTGGCTAACTATCCAATTTGCATTTCCAGCAAGAATAAGCCCAGTCATTACAAATGCCTCATTAACATTACTCTCTACAGGACAGCATGAATCACTCCTTCTCTTTTTCTGTGGTGCAAAGGAAAAGCCCAACATTGTATTAACTCCTCTTTGTCCACCTTTTGTATACTGGTAATGATTACACCCCAGGTGTACCTATTCGAGGAAGAGGAAGCTGCCCTCCTCCTTCACAGCTGCCAGCGGAGAGAAATCTTCATCCCTTTGCTAGTAGGGCTTGGACTTGCCTTCTCCCTGGGTGCTGGAGGCGCTGTGACTGCTGCTATTGTACAAACCCAGCACCTGGCGGGAGACTTTCGAGACAAGCTGGACCAGGCAATGGCATCCACAACTGACAGCCTCGAACCTCTCCAAAAACGAATGAACTCTCTTGCCGGGGTTGTGCTCCAAAGCAGAAGAGCACTGACTTAATAACTGCTGAACATGGGGGGACGTGTGTGGTATTGGGAGAGGAATGCTGTTTTTGTGTAAATGAATCAAATGTTGTTGAAACCGATGTTAACACTCTCAAAAAACTTCGTAATGATCCATTTTCAAGATTTCAACCCACCAAACAATTAGGTTGGTTTAGTAATCCCTTGTGTTCATGGCTCCTACCCTTTTGTGGCCCCCTGGTCATACTGTGTGTTATTTTGATGCTTGCTCACTGTTTTATAAGATTTCTTCACGGACAAATTACTGCCATTGCTAAAATCACTACAAAACAGGTCATGGTCAATTATCAGACTTTGGATTCTCCCGAGATAGATGAGTTGGCACT